TAACACTGCACAGTAAACACAGCTGGTGGATTTAGCCAAATCAAAGAACTAAAAACCAAAGGAGGTCTAACAGAGTTACAAACTATAAAGCAGGGGTGTCCAATCCTGGTCCTCAAGGGCCACAATCCTGCATGTTTCAGATGTTTCCTTCTTCCAGCACACCTGATTCACATGATCATCTCATCATCAAGCTCTGCAGAAGCCTGATAACGATCCTGATCATGTGAATCAGGTGTGTTGGAAGAAGGAGACATCTAAAACATGCAGCATTGGACACCCCTGGCTTAGAGCTACTAGTAAACATTTATGGTGGCCACAGAAACACTGGACAACATGCAACATCTAAAGCTGTTGGGAGTTCCATATGCACATTAAATCCCAGCTGCCCTGACTGTGAGGTTAGCTGCAGATTCAAACCCCCAGGTGTGGTGTTTAGTGCTGTTTGATGCCGTTGGATCAGTCAGCCAGGAAGGTAGGCGGGGAGAATAACGAGGGATGGAGATCCGGTCAGGAGCTCCAGGCCAATCATGTGGGGTCTGGAGATCTTCAGCCAGCTAAAATCAAGTGTCCACACGAGATATTGTCCTGCTCAGAGGCTGCAGAGGATCCACATCCAGCCACAGTGCGTCTCCTCCTGCAGCCTGTTCAACTTGTTTACCAGCCGTGAAGTCATTCAGTGTTTCTTGTGTCTTCTGTGTGCAGGGCTGCTGCCTGTCATCTGTCTGGGAGTCTTTCTCACTTCTCTGCTCATTCTTCCACTTCTCACTGTGCTTGTGCGAAAACTGAGACGAGATGTACAAACTGCTGAGAATCAACCCAAAACCCCGGTATGATTTCTGCTGCTGCGCTCCTGTAAAATCAAACACTCTGCCTGTTTTTCCTCAACAGATGTCTCACAATGAAGTATTCTCTTCTCTTTCCTTTGAAGGTGTCTGTCCAGGACCCAGTCTCTTTGGTTCGTCCATCTCTGGTCCCCGTCGACCCCTGTGACGTCCACCTGGAGCTCACCGACGACCACGTCTCCATCGAGCCCTCGTCTCTCCTCCGACCAGGACCTGAGCTCAGCGGTGGGAAACGTGAACCCCAGCTCGAGTGCATCGTACTGGGACAGCAGAGGACTGGAAGTAGACTGAGGCCTGTGTTTGACTCCTCTGAGGACACGTAGGACAAATGAAAACTGACCCCAGGAGACTAACAAAGCTCTGAAGGTATCACACGTCTGTCAGGCCGAGCTTTGATTGGGTTAAAAAGAAAGAAGAATCTGCTGCAAACTCCATTTTGTCTTCATGTCACACAGTGGTGCTGTTATGTGTCGAGATCACTTCATCATAAATCATATGAAATAAATGAAAAACTACCTGAGCAGTCAAAAACTAAAAGAAGTAGGTTGTGTTTCAGATAACTTCTTGCAGAAATAATGAGGAAAAAACATCTTGAAGAGGAGAAAAGTAAATATTTTTGAACCTAAACTTTTAAGCTCATAAGTCATCCTCACAATGTTCTTACAAAAATCAAACTGTAGATGTTACAATTTCCAGGACAAAGTATGTGATGAAAATCTCAGGATACAAATAGATCTGTAAATGTCAGGGATGAACTTTTAACCTTTAAAGTATGAGCAAAACTTAAACTCAGATCCTCTTAGTGTCTTTCCCTGAGCTTTAAATTACGTTTCGCTGTCAGAAATTCAGCAAACTTAATCGGCTGAGGAAAACCAAACGATGTGCTTAATTATTTTTGCAGTTTTCAAGGATAAAACAGCTTTCAAGCTTGAATTTTTGGTGGTTCTGTTGTGACTTTACCACAAAATGACTAAAACCATAGAGTGATTTACAGAACTCATGCTCATGGTGGATCCTCGATACGGATTCAGTTTGGTTCCTAAAACGTCGCTGAATTAATTCAACATAGATTCTGTGTGAGTTGGTCAGAAGGCAGCGGTCACCTTCTATGAGCTGAAAGGTTCAAACATGCTGTTGTTCAGCAACGTTCTGGATCCTTGAAACGTCTTCAGGTGCTGTTCTTGTTCTTGGCCCTGACCTTTGACCTTCCGTTCTTGCTGAGACATCCAGTGACAAAGAGCCAGAAGCTGATCTGTTGTTGGGAGCACATCATGTGTCTCCGGCGCCAGCAGATGACCTCTCACATAATGATTCTGTTTATTTGGCGGCTTGCGTCAAGTGACAGAAATGTGGCTCCCGGTCTGAAACCTCCGAGCACTTTCCTCCGATGATGTGAGTCAGAGTGCAGCGCTGAAGCCTCGGAGCTTTGACTGGTGAGTGAGAACCACCAGTGAAGCAGAGATAGTTTATCTGGCTGGTCCAAGCGGAGCTGTTTTTCTGTTTGTACACGTATGAATCTGGTCTCGGTTCTTCCTCTCTCTGAGGTCCAGTGCCACTGAACAGAAAGTCCAAACCATGAGCTTCATAAACAAGAACTAAGAAAACTTCTGACCCCCCACATGCAGCCAGCAGCTCCTTCATGCTGCTCTTCTCCCCCCGAAAGTGATAAAGGGTCGTTTTTTCTTCTGTCATTCGCTGTTCTGAACTCTTTCTGACTCACAGTTGCCCCATCAGAGCTCCGCTGCCTCTGAGCTGTGACTGACACCTCATCCTACCTCCCGCATGAAGCCCAGGAACATCTTGACATCTCGCTTTTCTGCCTTCTGTTTTGCTGGTGTTGCACTCTTTCCGCAACATTGGGGAGCCTTGCGGCTTTGGCCGTCCAACATTGTTTGTTTCCCCATCTTGCTTTTCCAGGAGTCCACAGAGACCCGGGGGGTTATCCAAAGCTGCAGCCAGTGGCATGGCTGTTATTAATAAGCACAGAGCTCTCATTGTGGAGAGATGATTAATGAGTAAAGCAGAAAGCTGGCGTGTGTGTTGAGCACCTGACCACACAACAGTCGAGCTGCTGTTCCCTCCAGGAGCACAAACACTTTTTTTTTTTCCTCTTTTCTATTTGCAGTAACTTTTCTGAAGCTCTCCACTGACGGGTCTGACTTTGCTTATTCTTGGATCATGAGTGTGTTTTGGCACTCTGCTACAGCTCACCGACTCCTGAGGTGACCTTGTTTCTTGTAATGAATTCTACCATGAGATCATGATATTTGCTGTTAAAACTGACCTTTTCTATTCATGATATGGAATATGCCAACACTTAATGAGATAACAAGTGGACCAAAGGTTATCAAAGTGGAGTTGTATTGTTGATATTAGATTAAAAAAACTAATTTACAAGTTTACTCAAGTGTGCTGACAGTGGTGGCTGTTTAATGCACAACAAATGCATGTTTGTGTTGCACAGTTATGAGATTAATTTTAATATTTTAAAATATTCCCTGGTAATACAAGCTTAATAAATAAATGTGCAGTAGTCACATGTCCACATAGTGGAAGCAGTATCGGTGTGGCTGTTCCTCTTGTCCATACCGGCCCTGAAGAGATTCTTAAACTAACCCAACTTAACTCATGTACGACAAATGGGGGGTCAAAAATTCCCTCTTTGTTTTAAACTGCAGTTTAATGATAAAACCGTTACTCTGTGATTCCCAACACTAATTAGATGATGGTTGCTTCTGCTTAACCAGCTCTTAGTAGTGGGAAAATGTTGTTGCATAAAATCTGGATATTAAAATTTTAGCTTGGTATATCAAATACTTTCCAAGATTTTTTTATTTTTTTTTAAATTACTGTTGATATTCAAACATAGCTTGAAATTGATTTCATCTCATCATTCAAACATATCAGAGGAACTAACAAAAACAAAAGTCTCTTCATGTCATTTAGTCAGAATCTGCAATACTGGACAAGTAGATCAAATAGTCTCCAATTATGGGTGAGTTAAAATATGGAAAGAAAAAACCAGTAGCCATCATGAAAAGTCCCATATATAAGCTCATAATAATAAAAATAAAAAGATACTGCAGAAGTCAACTAGGGATTTTTACAATAATAGGAAACAAAACGTACAGAATTGTCTCTAATATGAAATTCTCGGCGCCAAAAAGAGAAGAAACTGAGCAGGTGTGACATGTCGAACCACAACAATTAGATCTGTTGGGATAGTGGGAAACTGTCACGCATCTACTATATTTAATGTTAATCTGATGTGAGCAAGGCCCTTGGTGGTAAATTTGTTCCACAGTTTTCCACTCTTGCTTTGTGTTCCGATGGGAATAAAGTCGGCCTTCAAGACCAATGTCACAAGCTGCAGAAAGTGTAAGTACATGTTTATTTATAGTAACAGTGAACTGTTATTGGAAGAGATGCTTAAGGGTAAACTGTGTTTCTCCAGCCTACAAAGTTGGGTCTAAAATATAAACCGTGGCTACAACAATCATTAAAAGAAATCCTCAGTTATACTGGGAGAACCATTTTAATACTCTAGATACTCCTTTCTACTTTTTTTTAGGCTATCCAGCAATATTTCTGTTTTTGTGGTACAACTTGCTCAGTTATCAGAGTTTCTGTATTTTCTAGGATCAAGTATGTTTTTCTATTATTGAGACATGCGGTTCAGAAAATAACACCAGTTCTATTCTGCAGCATCACTCTCAGTTGCATGATAAATGGTTAAATGTCAGGCTTTTATCTTTAATAGTTAGCCTCAAATTTCAATGTGCGAAAAAACATTTTGAAAACAGGTTAACGAGCAACTGAAAATTTCACGTATACTAAAAATAATTATCTGTCATTTCTAACAGTAGCTATAAACGGTACTGTCGAAAAACTTAAATGTATATGTTGTGCTTGAATCAGACGGGCTGGTGTTCCGTGTCTGGCAGGAAATGCTTAGTCACTCGCTCAGTGACTCATCAAGCCTCTGGGGGTTCAACTTGTTTCTGCCCCCAGCATTGACAGTCTCACCATCCACAGATGGTCAGCCATGCTCAATTAAGAAACATGTTGCGCGTCATAAACGCTGCATAGCTGCACTTTTTTGGGCTTAAATGATGGAAAATATACAGTGTTTTGGAAATACACCACGCTGTGAGTATGTTTAGTTGTAACAACAGTCTTTTATTTGGCCTTACATTTCATTCATTCATTCAATAATTAATATACATGTTATATACATAAGCAAACAAAGATGTGCATGTCCTTGTTGAACTGTCTTGCAGTAAAGGTTGGCAGTGCATTCTTGGCCTTTTTAACAGTGTCACTGGGTTTCTTTCTTTCATCTTCTCACACACTCACACATAGACAGCATCGGTCGGGTCAGAGCCGTACCATCACGCGTTTCTGCCGCAGAACTTCAGCATCATCTAAGCCGTCTGTCTGTTCTGCTCATCTGCGCCAGTACTGAAGAGAGACGGGAACAAAGTTTCAAGATGATGTACTTTGACTTAAAGGTGCAAAATGTTAGATTTTTAACATAAATCTGTCTTTAATATAGCAACAAATGACTGTTATGTAAAGGTACATGCTGCAGCTCTGACTCTTTAGGTAGCACGTAAGTGTTATGTGTGAGCAAGAAGTCAGGAGGCTGCGCAACACCGTGTAGCTGTAACGACCCAATGATGTCCAGAACCAAAAGAAGAAACAACAGTGTTCCTTTTGGAAGAGCCTACAGTCTCCGAGACCAGAGAAGGTGCATCAGGTCAGGAAGCAGAGCTGAAGGCCTTTTGACTAAAGCTGGAGCCATTCGCCTGAGAACTTTTGCTGGCCACGGTAACCTTCCTTGCAGGCAGTGAGTGACTCTTTCAATGATTCCTAGATTATGTTCCTGCAATTGTAAAAGTATGTTGTGTGTTTTACTTACCTGTGCAAATTTGTGTATCTGCTCAACCACAGCAGCAAACAAAGCTCCCACACTCTCATCGATGAGACTCTGCATGTAGTGGACCGCCTCCTCGTCCGACAGGTCCAATCTGAACTTGTCCTGCACCTGAAGGTAAATGCATGTGTTATGAAGGGGTAAATGTCAGACAGGAAGAAATACTGATGTGTATTGCAGCTGAACTATACACGGTTAGTGTGTTATTGTCAAAGGTGGGAGACAGACATTGTTTTGGGTTCAGTTAAAAACAAACGGACCTTTTTTACAGTCTTGTCAGGCTCAAGAGCAATGTCAGGAATATTGGCATCCACCATGAGAGAGAACAGATTCAGGATCAGGTTGGAGTATCTGAAGAGAAGGAGAGTTCACATGAGCATAGTGTTCAGTCCATCAAGACATTAGTAAAGTCAACTTGATTGTCAACTACAGTGCAGAGGATATTTTGAAGAAGAATTCTGTTTTGCACATCAGAAATTTGATCAGTTGTTGATTTTTGAAACCTGAACTACTGATGTCTATAATTACATTCAAGCTGTAAGTCTGCTTTGACCAGTCAAAATTGAGGTACAGATACCCTAAATTAACATTGCAACACTATGCATCAGTCTTACTTTAAATTTTAAAAGGGTTTGCTGTAGAGCAGGGGTGGGCAATCCTGNAAACAGTTAGGCACCCAATCTTCCAACTAAATCTTCTGTCTGGTGTTACAACCCAGCTGTCTGAGGTGAGCCAGGAAGAGAGCAACAACCAGGTGCTCTTGGTTTGGTAAAGCAATTTATTGCTTAGAGGCATGATTAACAAAAGAAAAGGTGATAACACTGCACAGTAAACACAGCCGGCGGATTTAGCCAAATCAAAGAACTAAAAACCAAAGGAGGTCTAACAGAGTTACAAACTATAAAGCAGGGGTGTCCAATCCTGGTCCTCAAGGGCCACAATCCTGCATGTTTCAGATGTTTCCTTCTTCCAGCACACCTGATTCACATGATCATCTCATCATCAAGCTCTGCAGAAGCCTGATAACGATCCTGATCATGTGAATCAGGTGTGTTGGAAGAAGGAGACATCTAAAACATGCAGCATTGGACACCCCTGGCTTAGAGCTACTAGTAAACATTTATGGTGGCCACAGAAACACTGGACAACATGCAACATCTAAAGCTGTTGGGAGTTCCATATGCACATTAAATCCCAGCTGCCCTGACTGTGAGGTTAGCTGCAGATTCAAACCCCCAGGTGTGGCGTTTACTACTGTTTGATGCCGTTGGATCAGTCAGCTAGGAAGGTAGGCGGGGAGAATAACGAGGGATGGAGATCCGGTCAGGAGCTCCAGGCCAATCATGTGGGGTCTGGAGATCTTCAGCCAGCTAAAATCAAGTGTCCACACGAGATATTGTCCTGCTCAGAGGCTGCAGAGGATCCACATCCAGCCACAGTGCGTCTCCTCCTGCAGCCTGTTCATCAACTTGTTCACCGACGGTGGAGTTATTCAGTGTTTCTTGTGTCTTCTGTGTGCAGGGCTGCTGCCTGTCATCTGTCTGGGAGTCTTTCTCACTTCTCTGCTCATTCTTCCACTTCTCACTGTGCTTGTGCGAAAACTGAGACGAGATGTACAAACTGCTGAGAATCAACCCAAAACCCCGGTATGATTTCTGCTGCTGCGCTCCTGTAAAATCAAACACTCTGCCTGTTTTTCCTCAACAAATGTCTCACAATGAGGTCTCTCTTTCCTTTTAAGGTGTCTGTCCAGGACCCAGTCTCTTTGGTTCGTCCATCTCTGGTCCCAGTCGACCCCTGTGACGTCCACCTGGAGCTCACCGACGACCACGTCTCCATCGAGCCCTCGTCTCGTCTCTCCTCCGACCAGGACCTGAGCTCAGCGGTGGGAAACAGCTCGTGTGCATCGTACTGGGACAGCAGAGGACTGGAAGTAGACTGAGGCCTGTGTTTGACTCCTCTGAGGACACGTAGGACAAATGAAAACTGACCCCAGGAGACTAACAAAGCTCTGAAGGTATCACACGTCTGTCAGGCCGAGCTTTGATTGGGTTAAAAAGAAAGAAGAATCTGCTGCAAACTCCATTTTGTCTTCATGTCACACAGTGGTGCTGTTATGTGTCGAGATCACTTCATCATAAATCATATGAAATAAATGAAAAACTACCTGAGCAGTCAAAAACTAAAAGAAGTAGGTTGTGTTTCAGATAACTTCTTGCAGAAATAATGAGGAAAAAACATCTTGAAGAGGAGAAAAGTAAATATTTTTGAACCTAAACTTTTAAGCTCATAAGTCATCCTCACAATGTTCTTACAAAAATCAAACTGTAGATGTTCCAATTTCCAGGACAAAGTATGTGATGAAAATCTCAGGATACAAATAGATCTGTAAATGTCAGGGATGAACTTTTAACCTTTAAAGTATGAGCAAAACTTAAACTCAGATCCTCTTAGTGTCTTTCCCTGAGCTTTAAATTACGTTTCGCTGTCAGAAATTCAGCAAACTTAATCGGCTGAGGAAAACCAAACGATGTGCTTAATTATTTTTGCAGTTTTCAAGGATAAAACAGCTTTCAAGCTTGAATTTTTGGTGGTTCTGTTGTGACTTTACCACAAAATGACTAAAACCATAGAGTGATTTACAGAACTCATGCTCATGGTGGATCCTCGATACGGATTCAGTTTGGTTCCTAAAACGTCGCTGAATTAATTCAACATAGATTCTGTGTGAGTTGGTCAGAAGGCAGCGGTCACCTTCTATGAGCTGAAAGGTTCAAACATGCTGTTGTTCAGCAACGTTCTGGATCCTTGAAACGTCTTCAGGTGCTGTTCTTGTTCTTGGCCCTGACCTTTGACCTTCCGTTCTTGCTGAGACATCCAGTGACAAAGAGCCAGAAGCTGATCTGTTGTTGGGAGCACATCATGTGTCTCCGGCGCCAGCAGATGACCTCTCACATAATGATTCTGTTTATTTGGCGGCTTGCGTCAAGTGACAGAAATGTGGCTCCCGGTCTGAAACCTCCGAGCACTTTCCTCCGATGATGTGAGTCAGAGTGCAGCGCTGAAGCCTCGGAGCTTTGACTGGTGAGTGAGAACCACCAGTGAAGCAGAGATAGTTTATCTGGCTGGTCCAAGCGGAGCTGTTTTTCTGTTTGTACACGTATGAATCTGGTCTCGGTTCTTCCTCTCTCTGAGGTCCAGTGCCACTGAACAGAAAGTCCAAACCATGAGCTTCATAAACAAGAACTAAGAAAACTTCTGACCCCCCACATGCAGCCAGCAGCTCCTTCATGCTGCTCTTCTCCCCCCGAAAGTGATAAAGGGTCGTTTTTTCTTCTGTCATTCGCTGTTCTGAACTCTTTCTGACTCACAGTTGCCCCATCAGAGCTCCGCTGCCTCTGAGCTGTGACTGACACCTCATCCTACCTCCCGCATGAAGCCCAGGAACATCTTGACATCTCGCTTTTCTGCCTTCTGTTTTGCTGGTGTTGCACTCTTTCCGCAACATTGGGGAGCCTTGCGGCTTTGGCCGTCCAACATTGTTTGTTTCCCCATCTTGCTTTTCCAGGAGTCCACAGAGACCCGGGGGGTTATCCAAAGCTGCAGCCAGTGGCATGGCTGTTATTAATAAGCACAGAGCTCTCATTGTGGAGAGATGATTAATGAGTAAAGCAGAAAGCTGGCGTGTGTGTTGAGCACCTGACCACACAACAGTCGAGCTGCTGTTCCCTCCAGGAGCACAAACACTTTTTTTTTTTCCTCTTTTCTATTTGCAGTAACTTTTCTGAAGCTCTCCACTGACGGGTCTGACTTTGCTTATTCTTGGATCATGAGTGTGTTTTGGCACTCTGCTACAGCTCACCGACTCCTGAGGTGACCTTGTTTCTTGTAATGAATTCTACCATGAGATCATGATATTTGCTGTTAAAACTGACCTTTTCTATTCATGATATGGAATATGCCAACACTTAATGAGATAACAAGTGGACCAAAGGTTATCAAAGTGGAGTTGTATTGTTGATATTAGATTAAAAAAACTAATTTACAAGTTTACTCAAGTGTGCTGACAGTGGTGGCTGTTTAATGCACAACAAATGCATGTTTGTGTTGCACAGTTATGAGATTAATTTTAATATTTTAAAATATTCCCTGGTAATACAAGCTTAATAAATAAATGTGCAGTAGTCACATGTCCACATAGTGGAAGCAGTATCGGTGTGGCTGTTCCTCTTGTCCATACCGGCCCTGAAGAGATTCTTAAACTAACCCAACTTAACTCATGTACGACAAATGGGGGGTCAAAAATTCCCTCTTTGTTTTAAACTGCAGTTTAATGATAAAACCGTTACTCTGTGATTCCCAACACTAATTAGATGATGGTTGCTTCTGCTTAACCAGCTCTTAGTAGTGGGAAAATGTTGTTGCATAAAATCTGGATATTAAAATTTTAGCTTGGTATATCAAATACTTTCCAAGATTTTTTTATTTTTTTTTAAATTACTGTTGATATTCAAACATAGCTTGAAATTGATTTCATCTCATCATTCAAACATATCAGAGGAACTAACAAAAACAAAAGTCTCTTCATGTCATTTAGTCAGAATCTGCAATACTGGACAAGTAGATCAAATAGTCTCCAATTATGGGTGAGTTAAAATATGGAAAGAAAAAACCAGTAGCCATCATGAAAAGTCCCATATATAAGCTCATAATAATAAAAATAAAAAGATACTGCAGAAGTCAACTAGGGATTTTTACAATAATAGGAAACAAAACGTACAGAATTGTCTCTAATATGAAATTCTCGGCGCCAAAAAGAGAAGAAACTGAGCAGGTGTGACATGTCGAACCACAACAATTAGATCTGTTGGGATAGTGGGAAACTGTCACGCATCTACTATATTTAATGTTAATCTGATGTGAGCAAGGCCCTTGGTGGTAAATTTGTTCCACAGTTTTCCACTCTTGCTTTGTGTTCCGATGGGAATAAAGTCGGCCTTCAAGACCAATGTCACAAGCTGCAGAAAGTGTAAGTACATGTTTATTTATAGTAACAGTGAACTGTTATTGGAAGAGATGCTTAAGGGTAAACTGTGTTTCTCCAGCCTACAAAGTTGGGTCTAAAATATAAACCGTGGCTACAACAATCATTAAAAGAAATCCTCAGTTATACTGGGAGAACCATTTTAATACTCTAGATACTCCTTTCTACTTTTTTTTAGGCTATCCAGCAATATTTCTGTTTTTGTGGTACAACTTGCTCAGTTATCAGAGTTTCTGTATTTTCTAGGATCAAGTATGTTTTTCTATTATTGAGACATGCGGTTCAGAAAATAACACCAGTTCTATTCTGCAGCATCACTCTCAGTTGCATGATAAATGGTTAAATGTCAGGCTTTTATCTTTAATAGTTAGCCTCAAATTTCAATGTGCGAAAAAACATTTTGAAAACAGGTTAACGAGCAACTGAAAATTTCACGTATACTAAAAATAATTATCTGTCATTTCTAACAGTAGCTATAAACGGTACTGTCGAAAAACTTAAATGTATATGTTGTGCTTGAATCAGACGGGCTGGTGTTCCGTGTCTGGCAGGAAATGCTTAGTCACTCGCTCAGTGACTCATCAAGCCTCTGGGGGTTCAACTTGTTTCTGCCCCCAGCATTGACAGTCTCACCATCCACAGATGGTCAGCCATGCTCAATTAAGAAACATGTTGCGCGTCATAAACGCTGCATAGCTGCACTTTTTTGGGCTTAAATGATGGAAAATATACAGTGTTTTGGAAATACACCACGCTGTGAGTATGTTTAGTTGTAACAACAGTCTTTTATTTGGCCTTACATTTCATTCATTCATTCAATAATTAATATACATGTTATATACATAAGCAAACAAAGATGTGCATGTCCTTGTTGAACTGTCTTGCAGTAAAGGTTGGCAGTGCATTCTTGGCCTTTTTAACAGTGTCACTGGGTTTCTTTCTTTCATCTTCTCACACACTCACACATAGACAGCATCGGTCGGGTCAGAGCCGTACCATCACGCGTTTCTGCCGCAGAACTTCAGCATCATCTAAGCCGTCTGTCTGTTCTGCTCATCTGCGCCAGTACTGAAGAGAGACGGGAACAAAGTTTCAAGATGATGTACTTTGACTTAAAGGTGCAAAATGTTAGATTTTTAACATAAATCTGTCTTTAATATAGCAACAAATGACTGTTATGTAAAGGTACATGCTGCAGCTCTGACTCTTTAGGTAGCACGTAAGTGTTATGTGTGAGCAAGAAGTCAGGAGGCTGCGCAACACCGTGTAGCTGTAACGACCCAATGATGTCCAGAACCAAAAGAAGAAACAACAGTGTTCCTTTTGGAAGAGCCTACAGTCTCCGAGACCAGAGAAGGTGCATCAGGTCAGGAAGCAGAGCTGAAGGCCTTTTGACTAAAGCTGGAGCCATTCGCCTGAGAACTTTTGCTGGCCACGGTAACCTTCCTTGCAGGCAGTGAGTGACTCTTTCAATGATTCCTAGATTATGTTCCTGCAATTGTAAAAGTATGTTGTGTGTTTTACTTACCTGTGCAAATTTGTGTATCTGCTCAACCACAGCAGCAAACAAAGCTCCCACACTCTCATCGATGAGACTCTGCATGTAGTGGACCGCCTCCTCGTCCGACAGGTCCAATCTGAACTTGTCCTGCACCTGAAGGTAAATGCATGTGTTATGAAGGGGTAAATGTCAGACAGGAAGAAATACTGATGTGTATTGCAGCTGAACTATACACGGTTAGTGTGTTATTGTCAAAGGTGGGAGACAGACATTGTTTTGAGTTCAGTTAAAAACAAACTGACCTTTTTTACAGTCTTGTCAGGCTCAAGAGCAATGTCAGGAATATTGGCATCCACCATGAGAGAGAACAGATTCAGGATCAGGTTGGAGTATCTGAAGAGAAGGAGAGGTCACATAGTGTTCAGTCCATGATGACATTAGTAAGGTCAACTTGATTGTTAACTACAGTGCAGAGGATATTTTGAAGAAGAATTCTGTTTTGCACATCAGAAATTTGATCAGTTGTTGATTTTTGAAGCCTGAACTACTGATGTCTATAATTACATTCAAGCTGTAAGTCTGCTTTGACCAGTCAAAATTGAGGTACAGATACCCTAAATTAACATTACAACACTATGCATCAGTCTTACTTTAAATTTTAAAAGGGTTTGCTGTAGAGCAGGGGTGGGCAATCCTGGATGTTTTAGATGTTTCCCTCTTCCAACACACCTGATTCACATGATCAGGATCATTATCAGGCTTTTGCAGAGCTTGATGATGAGCTGATCATTTGAATCAGGTGTGTTGGAAAAGAGAAACATGCAGGATTGTGGCCCTCAAGGACCACGATTGGACACCCCTGCTGCAGAGTGTGTGAGTCTACCTCCTCAGGTGAAGGAAGGCGGTGTAGCACTGCTTCCTGAACTCCTGGTATTGCTCGCTCTGCATGCCTCCCATCCCTTCCACCATCTCTTTACTCAGCTTCATGGGCGGAGGCAGCGGTTTGGGGTCTCGACCGAGGATGTAGCCAAAGTCGATGTGGAAGAGCTTCCCTGGACGAACAAAGGAGAGAACACTGTAAAGAAAAGTCTCTAAGAAAGTTAGATGTTAGTGTCATCATGAGCATGTTTGCCTCACCAGTTTTTGTCAGTAGCAGGTTGTCCAGGTGTCTGTCTCCTACTCCCAGGATGTACGTGATGACACAGTAACCGGCTAGAAGGACACAAACACTGAGTACACTGATGACATCAGTTAATGTGTTCAAAGACACAGACAGAATAAGTGTCTCACCACAGCTCTTGACGTAGGTGTCCATCACCTCTGAGCTGATGCCATAGGGACCTTTTTCACTCGGTGCGTGCTTCCTGAAGAAGCTCTGTGAAGATGACGGTTAAATGACAGGTCAAATCAATGAAGTGTCCTGACTGCACACTCCAACTCATGTCTCCACTACTTACCTGGATGTTGCCTTCAGTAGCCAGGACTTCAGCCACAGGAACAGACTGAACAAACTGCATAAAACCTGGGAGGGAAAAAAAATGCACAATGTCTTGGTTCCACTGGAAGATATGAGGTGCGATCGAACATTTCTACATGCAACACGTGCAGGTAGTAACTTAAGTAAATCAGGATTCTGTATGTTTTTGTGTCCAGGTGTGCATCAGAGAAAGTACTGTTGACCTCAAACGTCACCAGCTCCAGATGAACCAGTGATGGGCCTATGACTGACACCAAACAGCAGTCTTTGCCGTTTACGAGACTGCAGAAGGTACAGCAGCACGCTTATCATTTACAGGTTTGTGCACCATGAACTCATCCTCCAGGGTCAGACTGTAAACACAAGGTGCTGCTGTGACATCCTGAGCTGTCTCGGTGAGAACATTTGGGCAAACAACCTGAACGGTTGTGCTGCAGAGTGCTGATTATTCACAGAGACATAATTGTTGCACCCCTACTTGCTAGATTTAGCTCTCTGACTTCTTCACCAAAATGAAAGGTTTGCTGTTTTGATTGTGGCATAACAATGCAGATGGTGCTTAACATGCTTACAGAACAGGAATGGTTCTAAGTGATGCAGAAGCAGCCTTGTACAGCGACACAGTGCTCCCAACACTTCTGCAAAGGGCACTGAATCTGCTTCAAAATAGTTTAAAATGAAATTCATCTTCCATTTTAGGGAAGAGAAATAAGTCACAGGAAGTCAAATCTAGCAAGTAGCATGGGCAGGGCCTTTTGTTGTTGTGGTCAAAAACCTAAGCACAGTCACCACCAGCTTGGTTTGGAGCACCGAATGTTCTTCCTTAAGCACCTCAAGATGTTACAGTCCAACTCCAGGGAATACATTCTCAGTGTGCAACCACAAGCATGCTCCTGATCAGTTCCTGGAAACTGCCAATAGTCAAAAATATCTGAGACAGCTCCTGCTACTGATAACGCTGTGTTCTGACTCATGACAGTTTCTGCTGACACGTGTTGCAAGTCCACCACAGTCACAGAACGTCATCATGCCACATATTTAATAACTTTAAACTGCATTATTTGCTTATTTTGAATGGATTGCCCTGACTGTTCTATCAATATATTGCTGTTCCTACATCATACAATCACATAACCGTAGTCACAGTAACAAGTAGCGACGAGGTCTTACCGTGCTTGGTGCTGGTGGCCAGAACTTTGTAGGGTGTCAACTTCAAGTCCAAATTCTCTTTCCTTAACAGCTATAAGCCCCAAAACAAAAAGAAGGGTTTAATTTAGGAGTTGAGAATTGATCCTTCAGTGTTCTGTAGTCCAAACATTACAATGTGAGAAGATCTTGTATGAGGAGGATTATAGAGACATGTGGTGCAAGAAACACACTAAAGAACATAAGTTTTGGCAATAAATTTAAATTGTGGCTTCTTGGAAGTGCAAGCTGCTCATTTCAGCTAATTTGTGTGTATGTGTAGACTATCTTGAGTGTTTTTTTGTTGTTGAATGTAATACTGATGATATATATTATAGAAACTGCTGCATCAGTGCTGTCTTAACAATGACCACAGGGGAAATAAGTCTTAGATGTTGCTGTTATCCTTGATATTTTGCAGATATGTTTCACCTGCAGCCCCTCTCTTATTGTGTCTGATAATACCATCTCTCACTGCGTGCTTGCTTTCCTATAGGTATAAAACAAGATCCTACTTTGTCCATGAGCGAGATGATCTGCAGGATGAGCTGGTCTTGTCTCAGGTCGTCTCCATGTTTGAAGATGACTGGATACATGGCTCCATCCTCGGCCTTGAAGATCAGCTTGGCAGGCATCAGAGCACTCTGACACACACACACAGAGGGAAAACTTAAACAGTAGACTGAATAAATACAACTCTATCAAGACCATCTGTGTCTTTGTTTCGTTAAATGACCATAAACGACTGATGTTGACTTAAGCTGCACTTGCACTGTTTTTAAAGAAATGGCATCATGACAGTTTGTTCTTTATATTTTATGCCATTTCTATAACAAATGTGTTTGTGTATTCCATCATGAAACAAAAGAACAACAAGGCTAATTATACATTTCTCTGATTTTTTTCTTACAGGACAACACAAGATGAGTGATTTCCAGAGCAGATGTGCATGCAGTCACAGACAAATGAAATGTCATTTAATCTCAGTTAAACTTAGGACCATTCAGTTGTATAAACAGCAAGGAATTGATTGAACAGGATGACAGTAAGGTCTTCTGTACCTTGAAGAGTGTTGCTGTTTCTGGGACGATGCCTCTGATCCTGATCTGAGGCTCCAGAGGAAGAGGAATTGGCTCAATCTCTGACAGATTCACTTTCTCGTTGTCAGCCAGCAGAGCCTGCAAACGCTCCGTCTGCAGAAACACATGAAGGGATGCTGATGTTAACAAAATTCAGCAAGATTAGTGCATTCAGGGAAAGCTACAGCTAAACACCAGGCTGTGTTTGAAACATGCCAAATCCTTTTTAAAGGAGGACTTGATTTGCCTCATGTGCTACAGCAGATTGGAATGTGAGGGAAAAGGAGTTCTAATTCAATAAAATGACAAAAAAAATGCCCCTAATAATTTATGTTATCAAAGATCAAACCAGGTGTGAGTTTTCTAATATTACCTTCTTCTTGCGATTTCCACTCTCCCTTTGGACGGCTTTCATCAGCTGCACCAGTCTGTCTACGAATGTTTGTTGGGCAGCCAGGAGCGACCGCATCACCCTCACGCTCTTATCACCCTGGAGGGAAGACAAGTTGTGTGAGCTTAAGAGCAGGGGTCATTTAAAAAACAACTTTAAAGAATGGTGATAAAAACAGTAGGTTGTGAAGTGAAGCAGGGTATCATGGGGAATAATATAATACAAATTCCGATAAATAAAGTCAATACTATGACATGTAATTTATATTTGCAGATTCTGATGTGCGTCAGGGAACATTTGCCAAAGTACAATATGTGCACGATGTTGCTGACCTTGAGCAAAGCCTGGCTGAACCTCCTCATGACGTTCAGGTACATCTCATGGGTCTTGGGATCTCTCTGCTGGGTGTCCTGATCCTCACATTCCACGATCACATACCTGGAAGGAAGACCGATTTAACACACAAATTCTCTGCCATGATAAACTCAGCTGATTTGTTTTTTCACAGAGGAAAACATGATGAACTGCACTCACCAGTACAAGTAGTTGGCAAGCGTTGAGTTCTTGCAAGCGCGGGAGATGAGGAACGTACACAGGTCTTGCTACAAAGAAATATACGCACAGTGATGCACAGACTGACACAAATACATCATATATTCCTGTGTTTTTTTAAAGCCTTGAAACAGGAATACATCTGAAATGATCAGCACTTTACTGTTGCTCTGTCTGTTCTGCTTTATCAACTGGTGCTTTCAGCTCTAATTTATTTTAATAAACATGTTCTTACTTCTAGATTCTCGCTGTCAGCTCCTTCCTTGCCTTTCTGTGGCGCAGTGGACGATCCCGATGAGCCAGAAAGAATCTGGGAACTTCAAAAAGAATAAAGCAGAAACAAAAATGATGAACCAAAACGTAGAACATGATACCTAGAAGATGTGTTCAGTATTAACATTTTATTTTAACATCTTCATGTCAGTAGCACAGTGTGCATGCAGCTAACAGCCTGAGGTTCTAGCTGCACCCGTGGACCTGCCAGTAACATCACAACATCCAGTGAGTTCATTACGGTTTCTGAAAGAGAAATAATCAGATTCTGGAATCCAGCATAAGCTCTCCCAGCCAGTGAACATTTTGGGATAAATTTAGATCCTGGAAATGAAAAAACATGTTTTTTCTTACATGTTTATCAAAAAGCCCGTGCCTGTCAATGTGGCTAGTAGCGCTGACCTTTTTATGATCCACGGCCAGAGTAGCTTACATAATGCTGTAACATCCAAGCACTGACCTGTCCAGCGAAGAGTCATCTGAAAGTCCTTGGCTGTCTCTCTTGCTGCCTGGCTCCAAGCCTCCCTGAATATCATCGAAGTTCTCGTACTTGAGCGCCTGCACCAGCTGGAGAAGGTACATCAGCAGATCCTGGAGAGAAGAGACGGGAAAAATTATGATGATGGAGCAAGATGAATTTCTTCCCAACGCTCTTTCCATTTCTATCACAGCGCCACTGATCATGACATGTAATTACTGGGATGCAACGAAGTGCTGATGTCATGTCTTTAATTATTGTTTTTTTGTGGGTTAGGTTTATGACT